TCTTCACACTGCGTCGTAATTTTTTGCATTCATCTTATAAGTATTTCTTGAACATCAGTTATTTGCTCTCTATATACTGTGCACTCCTTGAGGACAGGGTTTTACCTTCTATTTTAATATTTTGGATACTATCACTATGCCTTATTCAAATTAGGTGCTAAACAAATCATTTGTGCATGAATAAAATCCATTGGGTTTTTTTTCCCCAGGGATTGGACTAGCACATACTCTCAGGAAGACCTTTATTTCTAGAGCATAAGCAACTCTTAAGTGCTAACTATAGATGTTTTGGCATGTTATCAGTAAATCATGTATAGTGTAATTTAATTAAATAAAATGTGGCAATGACAGGGGAGACAATACTTCTAATCTGATTTGCCATTCATTTCGATGCTCTAACTATATCAAAGGGATGAAAAGAAATTGAGGATCTTTGTAATTGCCTACTGATCATTCCATATAGTAAAATCTACTTTAAGAATGATTTGATCATTAAAAAAATTCTAGGTAGGGGGCCAGCCCTGTGGCGCAGCAGTTAAGTGCACACGTTCTGCTTCAGAGGCTGGGGGTTCACCGGTTCACATCCTGGGCGCGGACATAAGTACTGCTTGGCAAGCCATGCTGTGGCAGGCGTCTCAGATATACAGTAGAGGAAGATGGGCATGGATGTTAGCTCAGGGCCAGTCTTCCTCAGCAAAAAGAGAATTGGCACCAGATGTTAGCTCAGGGCTAATCTTCCTCAAAAAAAAAATTCTAGGTAGGAAGAATAATTGAAAAATACTAACTATATACGTCCATTAAAAATTCTCAAAATGTAAAATAATGTATTATTTTGATTACTTTCCTCTGATAAGTTACCATTGCCTTATAAAAGTAATGGCACGAAAAATATAAAACATGCACACAAAAATATGATAGAAAACATATATATGAGCTTACCTATACCTAAATATTTGTACTTAAATTATTGAACAGAAGTTCTTATTGAGTCCCTTAGATCAACAGATTATTAGACTACTTTGTATAAGAGAGTAGGCTTTCAACAATATCAATGCTTTATTATTACCTTTGAGATGAAACCTTGTAATTTATTCCTTAGTAAAGCATTTAGACTCAGCACACATTTTGGTGCATCAATATTTTCCTAATGTTTTAATAAAGCAGCTGATGTATTGACATGGAAAGTGTGCAGTAAAAATTGAGAGTTATACATGTAATCATCTTGGGACTAAGTCTGGCTTTGAATATGCCAGAGATTGACTAATGAGGTACACATTAGAAAAAAACAAAACACCAGATAGCATAATTTAAAAACAGTGGAGTAGAGTGCTATTTATTCCAGGGCCCCAAAAATTACATATAAAATTACGTTTGTTTTAAAGAAACAAGAAACTCATATAAGGCAGAAGACAGAGTTTTTCAAAAATATGCTTTGTTATTATGTATTTACAATTTACTGTTTTGGAGCCTCATGCACATGGTCAAATTGCAAATACAAAATACATCAAATTTTATTTGAATGGAAGGAAATAAATGATCTTATCAAACAACATTCAAGGAAGAGAGACCAAAGGTAAAGAAAAGTCTTTCAACCAGAAGTCATCAAGCTCTTTCTATAAAGGGCAAGATAGTAAATATTTTAGATTTTGTGGGCTTACATTTTCTGTTACAACTATCCATTCTGCCCTAGTAGCCTAAAAGAAGCCATAGACAACAGATTAATGAATGGGTGTGGCTGCGTTCCCATAAAACCTTACTTACAAAAACAGCCTGAGGACCAGATTTGACCCTTGGGCTGTATTTCACCAACCTCTGTTTTAAATAAAAAAGAGCAAATAAAAGTTTAGTAAAACTAAATGAGTAAGCTTAAATCAATTAAATTGAAGGATAGAATTTTACAATGACAAAATTCACCTATTTCTCCATTAGACTAATATTATCTTAATGATTCTAAATTACGAGAATATTTACTGTGTATCACGGAGAATATCTTCACTTTCTTCTAAGTTTGGGGCTCATTGAGTTTCTATTCTCCTAATTACAAATATGAGCATCTCGATGACCTTCTCTAACCAAAGATTTTCTATTTCTGTATGTGTGTTCAATGTGGTGACCTAATTGTTTCTCGTAAGTGCAATTACAGCAAAACCTGGAAGTTACTCTTGACACCTCCTTCGCCTTCTTATACAGACTAGGCCTCCAGTTGATTTACTCCCTTAAAGCTCTTACTATTTTCACCTCTGTCACTTCTTGTTTAGACTCCTGCAAAGTTGCCAATTTGGAACCCAATCCCCATCCTTCCTGGACACTGCAGCCCCAGTCTACTTTCAAAAGGCAAAGCCACTCTGCTTAAATTCCTTTCCTTTATTTAATACAGGAAGCAAAGTCCTTCACGAGGCCCCCACAGCTCTGCCTGTCCAGGTTCCTGCAATCCTCTTCTGTCTGGTCTCTCTCCTGAGCTTTATCATGCTTTGGGCTTCAGTCACAGTGGCTTCCTCTGGGTTCCTCATACTTGTCATACTTGTTGCCAGCACAGGACGTTTGCACATGCTATTCTACCTGGAACTGTCTCCTCTACTTCCCCTTACCTACTTAACTCCTACCCATCTTTCAGAGCTTATCTTAAGCTTCACTTCCCCAGCGAATCTCTCCCTGACTTCACTGACTGGCTCACACCTCTGCTATTGGGACTCTTCGCATATTTGGGCTTGTGCTGGGGTGAGGGAAGTGAGGCACTAAGGTTGTTCTCATGCTCAGCGCCCTGGGAATATGGGGTTATTGTCTTCAGGGAGGTAAGAAGAGGTGCCAGAGAGCAACCGTCTAATCACTGTGTAATTCCAGGCCAGTTCAGGGGCCACATGAGGGGATGAGACACATGTATCATTCTTCTTTTTAAGCCTACACTTTATGTCCTGTTGTGGGTCTCTGGGATCCTTATCGTGAAAAACTGTCCCTGTAAAACTGACAAAATAAGATCTAAAGGAGAGTTCTGTAGGGAATTTGAATGGAATGTGATTTTTAAATATTTTTAAATGAAACACTTCTCAATTTTAAACACATTTATAAGCAGGTATATAGCATCATTGTTTACATTAGGAAAAAATATTAAAAAGGATCATAATAGGCCTTTGTTACATTCAGTGATCATCAAGATAACGCTGGAAAAAACTGGCACAAATTAGAACTGGAGAGTTTTTCATTTCCTGAATATGTACAGATTGAATGTACTCATCTACATACTACACACACACATGCACCCCTCAAACCCTTATATTTTGGCAGCAATTGCAAAGTCCACCGTCTGGTCTTGGAATAAAGTGTCCAAACACGCAAGGAGAAATATGTATTAACCAATTAAAATGAACTACTTGAAGAGATAATTTGATTTCTTTAAAGGGTCATATAATTATATCGACCATGGTCTATTAATGTACCCATTCCGTCGAGAAGATCTTGGATATCTTGAAAAAGAAAACCTTGCTGAGCAGAATGATTTTTCATAGGCTAGTTGATTTTTACATTGTTTTATCTTTTTGTTCTAAAATTTATTGCCAAAATATAATAACTTTGTAACACCATAACTCTGCACATTCCTCCATAAAAGAAAAATGAAGAAGGAAAGAAAACAATCACCTAAGGGAATGCTTTGTAAGCAAGAGTTACTCTGAGATATAACTAGGATCATGGAAACAATTCAATCAAGTATTCAGGGCACCTGGACACAACAGGGCTGCTGTATTGAGCAATTCCAGAGCCAGCCCTGGGGGAATATTGGTCCCTGGTGCTATGCAATGTGGGCAGCCCTGAAGGGCACAATTGTTATCAGTAGGTTAGATCGATGCTGTGAAGCAGACAGAGCTTCATCTTGAGCTTTTATATAATTACAAGATAAAAATTAAACTTTCAAAAGAAAAATAAGCCACCTTTCACAGGAACTTTATTAAAACTCTCTGCTCCTATGTCATAGCACTTTCCAGTCTCATTTTTAGTTTAGTTCAAGACACCAGTGTACTTGCTTGCTACAGTACAATTGTACTCTGCCTCAAGAAGCAAGTGCCACTCTCCAACAGCAACTTTGCCCCCATAAGTTTCATTGGTCAGTGTTTCTTATACTCTTTTTCAGCATCTGGTAGAACCAAATGCAAAATGTAAATAATTAATAGAGCTATCATATTTTTATTTTTCTTTCAAATTATGAAGTCAGTGGAGCAAAAGTCTAACTATATGTGCATCCTGTAAACATACACAGCTAAAGAGGGTTGAGTAATAACTGTGTGTAATAGAAATTTTATGCAATCTGAGGTAAAATAACTTATGTAAAGACATTTCTGTTTTACCATCATATTTCACCATGAATTTAGAGAAGTGTACCTGTAGAACAAAACATGAGAAGAGTTTGAATTGCAAACATTAGCTAAGGTAAGCAATAATATTATGGACCTCAATATTCAGGGCTGGATAGGTAGTGCCATGTGGATCAACACTTACATGGATCCATTTTAACATCTCACTGGGTATTTGACACATATTAGACTCTCAATAAGTGTCTTAAAGTAATCAGCATAAGAATTCTCCTTGAGGAACATAAACTAACCATCTAATGTCATTTTCCTCTGAAATAAAGGGTAGGATTATTGGAAGGGTTAAATAAGGTAATATGTATAAGGCACTTAGCATAATTCCTGGAGCATAGTAGAATTGCTCAATAAATTTAGTTATGATTTTTCTATTTTGTTATCATTTCCTCGATTCTGGAATATGATGCTCATCATTACACACCCTCCCATTCTTTTCTTTCACTATCATAGTAGTGTCTGCTAGTTAGGGGATCTTGTAAATCAAGATTTAAGAATTTTGCTATCCTTACATTTCCTTTGGTTGATATTTACAATGTTTAATTGGCCTGGGTATAAGATCATCCAGTACAACCACATCATGCTGCTCAAATTTATCTTGAAAATTTTACTGAGGCTTTAAAGAATATAAAATAGGTTGCTTACTTTATCAACATTGGAAGATATAAAATCTGTGTATATGGAGCAGGCCTTTGGCCGAGTGGTTAAGTTGGCGTGCTTCGCTTTGGTGGCCCAAGGTTTTGCCAGTTCGGATCCTGGGCGCGGACATGGCACGGCTTGACAAGCCATGCTGAGGCGGCGTCCCACATAGCACAGCCAGAAGGACCTACAACTAGAATACACAGCTATGTTCTGGGAGACATTGGGGAGAAGAAGAAGAAGAAAAAAAATTATTGGCAACAGATGTTAGCTCAGGTGCCAATCTTTAAAAAAAAAAAAAAAAAAAAGGTGGCTAGGCCAGCATAGCATTCCTTTAAAAAAAAAAAAATCTGTATTTTGCGTTCATAAGACTTACTCATGTTATTCCACATAGGTGTTAAAATAAAGTTGGAAAAATTTCAACTTACATTTATTGAGCACTAACTACAAAGTGGCACTATGTTATTTACTTTAAGCAGTATTTTACATTTGGTCTTTACAGTTGCCAGACAATGAGGAGGTTCGGTTCCCCCAAGCTTATCCATGAGGAAACTGAAGCTTAACGAGGTCAAATAATTCCCCCAAGGCCACCAGCCAGTTAAGTAGTGAAATTGGAATACACATTCTTTCTGAGTTGGCTCAGCTTGAGCTTTGATCAATTAAATTTCCAATAGTATTTTCACAGTAAACATTTTCTTTTAAAATGAATAAAACATGAAATGTTATAATTACTATCCTTTTGATGTTTTATTTGTACCAGATGTTAAGAATATACTTGTTCTTCACAGACCCTTTTATAGTTAATACTAAATCCATGTGTATGAGATTGGTTATCCTAGAAATTAATGTAAAAATGATAATTTTTGCAATGGATGATCATGAAATTTCCCTGGACCTTGAGTTGTTTTTAGAGAGCACTGTCTGGCTTTTGCTTGTAAATGGAGCAACTGGTAAATAGACAACAGCACTTACTTTGGAGATGAGGGCATGCTATTGCACAGCTTTAGTTATCGGAAGCATATACCTTTATACATATGCCTGTAGTGGAGTCTTGTCTTTTATTTACAGATGATGGCCTTGCCCGGCATTGGTATTAAATAAATCACAATAATACAGAGGACGATTTTTATTCAGCCAGAGTAAAATCTCTGTAGTCCTAAATTGTGTTAAAAGCCCTTTAGTCTTAAACTTGCCACACTCATTCTTATTCCTGATATTATTTTCTTGGCTAATTCTAGAAGAGGAATGGGAATTTACCAGGTAATTTGCATGCACTCTTATAAAAGGAAGCATCACACCTGATACTTCCATCAACTTTCCATAGTAGTCAGGGATCATGGGAATTTTCCTCAATACACTGAAAAATAGTGAAATAATGCTGACTCTTAGATACTGAATATTGCTGCTATAGTAGTGCTCATCATATATTCTTCTTAATTTTTCATTTATTCTCATAAAAGCAGCCCACCCTGTGGTTACTTAGAAATGTCTTCTCACTTTTGTAAAATAAACATTTTTTGTAGTAATGAAAATTACATCATTACTCATACATTTTGTTAGTATCACTACTCTTCTTTTTGGGAATTCTTTCTAGAGAGTCAGAGTTAAAAATGTTTCATACTTTGAGTCGTGGAACTTTTCATGAGAGTTGAAAGGAAACAAATTGTAAAATTATTGACTTCCATTGAAATTTTTCATAAATGATTTTAGTTGATTTTTAGAAGATCTAACATCTTTTACTGATTTTTTTTTAACTCTGAGCTTAAATGAATTCTCTTTTTGACTCCATATGTTACTTTGAGAAATATTACAGAATGCCTGCAGTGACAGTATCTTTTTTTACATGTCTTATTATATGTTGCTGTGGGTCTCCACTGAGAAGACCTATTTTAATTCTCATTTTCAGACTCTCTCCTGAGAAGGAGAGCGGCCGTCTTCTTTCAAGGTCACAGGATTTGATGGATGAGGAGTACTAACAGAGATCCTAGTTTCATTCCAAATTGAAAGAACAACAGAAAAAATGATTAACCTGTCCCAATTAAGCTGAAATGAGGCCAAGGGCAGGGGATCTTGTAACAACTGAACACTATCATTTTAAAGTTCAATTACTGGTGTCTTTCTAAATTTTTCAAGCTCCTTGTCATTGCATACTTAAAGTAGCTTATATTTCATATAAAGGTCTTCAGTTTTCAACCCTTTTGTCATTTAGAGTAGCTTGTTGTCTCACTGAACACCATACTGTGAAATTTACAATGTCATGGTTAGCTATAAGCGACTCCCTTTTATAAAACTTGGAGTAGAATTTATTTGCCTTTGATCAAGGATCAGAGCTCCCTGGTGCCATCCAGGGATTTGTGCTTAAACGAGGATTTTGAATCCAATTGCCAATTACTGTCAGCCAAACACTGTGTAAAACATTACACTGATCCCATCACTAAAGCTGCCAAACAAACCTATTAAAGACGTACGATTTATAATGTAAACAAAAAGGAATGTATAGGAAATATTGATATGTGTCTATCTGCGAGTTTGGTTTCATAGAACTCTTTCCTTGACTGGAGCACAGATGAAATATTTTTTAGCAAATCTTCACATATTTAGAATTTCATTAACTCATCTATACACAAAATTATAAATGCTATTTGCATGGAATCATTTTCTAGTAGTGCAAAATATTCTAACTATTGATGCAATATATTGTCCTTTTTTGCATATAACCCTTTCTAGTTAGGCAAATGCCCTCTTAAGGCTGTGAGGTTTATTGAATAATAAAATTACAGCAATTTGGAAACGGATGTGACCATGTAGTTTCTGTACCACTATCTTGTATAGACAAGGAAACCGAGAATCATCAGTATCAAAGGAGTTTCTTGAGGGTGTTTTTTTACAACATACAAACTGCTCTCATTAGGTAATTAATTAATAGTCTAATAAAGGTGGAATGTATACAATGGACATTAAGCCAATTTGGGGATAAATATACCTCAGTGGGAGGAGAGAAGTAATAAATTGAGGGTCATCAGTTGCACTTCCACTAAGTAACAGTTTAGTTTGGAAAAAAAAAGTTCACAGTTCATCACTATTTTTGCCATGAAAGTAGAATGGCAATAATGACTGCCTAACGCCGTCCCAAACATGTAATAGAGAATGTGAGATTTTATTTTGTCAAGGACTCTGGGATCATCAATTTAAGGGTGCCATCTAAACGGTTTCCTGTACCAACCTTACTATCTATACAGCTTACAAATAGCTAAATTGATGTTTTACGTATTTCTAAAGATTGTATTTTAGATTGAAACCTCTCAGGATTCAAGCACAATAAAAATAACTATGTTTAAATGACTTGGAAAAGAAATAACATGTTGAACAGCAACCAAAACACAAATTAAATAGCGCATTTAATAATATATATATATATATATATAATTTTATAGTTAAATGCTATGGGAATTTATAAAAAGGAGTATTCATTTGGGGCAAAAGAGGTTAAAGAAGGCATCATGGCAGAGAGATGGCACAAAGTTGGCTCTTTAAAGAATTGGAAGAATTCAGATAAAAGATGAGGTAAGAGGAAGGCATTGCCGGAGGTAATAAGGGAGGTGCACAAGCACATGGAGATGGAAGACGGCCAAAAGTTTAAAGGACAAAATGGGAAGAATGGCGGCTGGAGTGGATTTTATGTGGTGGGGAATAAGTAGGAGATAAGATGGGAGCGATATAACAGGACCTGATGGTAGAAGACCTTTATTGTCAGGTTAAGAAGTTTAGAATTTATCTTGGATCTGGGAAGATCCAAAGGGAAACAAGACCTGGTGTGTTACAGTAATTGTGTGTATATATATGTACATAATTGGTAGAAATAAATAGCAACGTTTCTAGTTAGCGGCAGCAACAATTAAACATTCTCTTTTATTGTACTTTAGTGGGCTATTTTATGTTACTCAATAATGAATTATTCTTTAAACTTAGGTTATCAGATAAGCACATGGAACACACACATGTGCGCGTGCACACATACTTTTATTTTATTCATTTATATCTCAGCTTTTCCAAAATTCCATCTTTTAGATTGGCAAATGATTTAGGTTTAATTCCGTATAGATCCTTGATTCAATTCCCTTTTTTGGGGAACATCACTCTGCTGGCTGATTTTCTCTGCTGACAGGCTTCAATCTCATTATTTTCTCACATTTCTGGCTCAGAGGTTCCGTGTGAAACTGTTTTTTGCAGAGTTGTAGAATAAATGCTCAAGATTTTCTTCTTAAGATTCGCTTTACTTCCATTAGGCAGATTTCAATCATAAGTCAGAGTATTGTGTGATCTCTGCAAGTCATAATATTCATGTTCTGTATTTTCTCTGATGTAGTACTCAGTAAAGATATACATAGATGTACATACAGATGTACGTATGGCAAATATTTCTTAAGAAATGTTTTGTAAATCAAGTCCTCTGCTATAGAATCCTAAATAAGTGCACAGTATTACAAAGTCAAAGAAAGATTTCAAAAATCTGATGTGAAAGGAACTTCTGATATTGAGCTGTCAAAATGCTAGTTGTTGATTACCTGTTCTAGACTACTGGAGTCAGTCAACCTGAGCTTTATAAAAGTGGTATTACCTATTCTATGTTTATTACTGTTTTCATATTTGGAAGTTCTAATATAAAGATCTCAAGAAGAAATAAAAATGAGGGATCTTTATGGGGAGCGTGGTGCTTTTTGCCCCATGGTAAAGGTTCTTACTTGGGAAAATGGTGAGAGATTTCTACCTTGAAGTAAATGTGGATAGCCTATTAAATATTTTTTTGCTAAGTACTCATATTTAAATTAGTAAATCTATTGGTTAAAAAACTCCCTCAAATTATCAACAAAATAAGTCCACTCTCTGTAGTGAAGCTTAAATGATTAAATGACAGAGTTTTGTTGAATTATGATGCTTTTAGTTTCTTGAAACAATATATTGGCTCCCACCACATATATTATCTCTCTCTCTCTCTCTTTCCTTCTTTTCCCTCCCACCATTCTCTAAATTTATTTTGCTCCAAAACTTGCAAGTCATTTTTTGAGAAGTCAATGCACCTTCTCAGGGAGCTAAGATTGTAAATGACAGATCTATCTCAATGAGCATAT